CCCCAAAACCCCAAAACCCCATAAGTAATTGACTCATTTTATGAGAGAGTTAATGAGTCATAAAATTTATTGGAATAAATATAAAAGTTTAATTTTATATCTAGAAAGAATGGCCACTACTTAAAAAGAGTAATAGAAAAGAGTCGACGTTTTAATAGTGGGGGCTGGTCCTGCTACTCTTGGATTGCTATGCAATGCTCTCAAAACTAACAGGTAGATAATTTAGCTTAAAATGATTCGATAGATTGAATGAACTAATCTTATCAGGTGATGGAATAGCTGTTGTTGAGTCAGGACTTTGTTTTGGTGGTGGATGCTTATAAAATTTTGGTATAAATTCTAATACTAGTGCAAATGGTTTCCTGAAATGTCTCTATAGAAAGAAACCTGTAATGATTAAATCCATTTAATATTTTTAGGAATAATAAACTGAAAAAACTAATCAGAATGTGAATAATGGGAGTAGTATGGGTTCAAAGCCTGACTAAAGTAAAGCACAAGCTAAATCTTAGATAAACTAAACTATGACATAAATGTAGAAAAAGCTAAAAGAAATGGATAATATTGGACTTGATGAAGGAAGTGAATCAGAGGTGGAGGATTATTTAGATAATAATTCATCTAAGTATGAGGCTCTAAATCCTTTTAAAGATCTTTATCCAAATAGTGAAATAGTTAAAGCTCTAAGAGAGTATGGTCCTAATATTGTCCCTCTTTCAATGATAGGAATGCTGATGAACTATACAGGGAATCACTTCCTTGCCTACATTTTTAACACTTACAAGAAAAAGATATTCTATCCTATGCATAAAGTCGTATCAGTTTAGTTATTGGCTAACGGTGAGATACTAACTACAACTAAAAGAACTGATTGTATGATAAAGAGAAATCTTACAAGTGGTCACACAGTATTTTATGATTAAGAAACTGTAATTACCTTCAGATCGAAAGCCATTGTCCTTTCAAACGGTGGAGTTTAAACATTGCACCCTTAATTTTTTTAATGGTTCCCGAAATTATCTGACTAAAGAGAAAAGATAATTCTTGGTGATAACTTTCTCAAAAAGGAAAACTTTTGCAGTTTGATGCAGAAAATAAAAGAGAATGAGTATAAGAATATTGTTATAATAGGTGGATCACATTCAGGATTTTCTTGTGCCTGGATGATGCTTAATGGACCTGCCTCTTATAAAAAGAATACCTCTATCAGGTCTAAATACCAAGATTAATTTCCAGGAGCTCATCTTAAATAATAATAGAATTGCTAAGATTGCTGTACTTGTTCATCAAAAGTCACTAAATAACCTTCAGCTTTAGGATGTAACTGTATTTGTAAATGTTTTGGATTTTTCTAGTATAAGGACTGGGATTTCGATTATGATTTAGAGTAGCTAACTCATTTAGGCGCAGGAAACATTAAAATTCTATATAGAGATAGGATTAAAGTATTCTATAGTTAGGTTAAAAATGCAGAGTTTGACGGTTATACAGATTTTAAGCAGCTTAACTTTAGCAATAAAAATGGATACTTATATTCGTTCACAGGACTAAGAGGTGATGCAAAAAAGCTATATAAATCAGTAATGAAAGGTGAAGAAAAAAGAATATAGCTCATTAAGGCAGAGTCGCCAGAGTTACAAAGGCAATATGTTGAAGATGCAGACTTGGTAATATGGGCTTGTGGATATTAAACTAATAAAATTCCAATTAGAGATTTTGAAGGAAAAGAATAGAATTTAAGTTAAAAAGTTCCATTTACTTAGTATGATGTTGATAATAAATGTAGAATCATAACTACAGATAATGGCTTATTAACAAAAACTTTTGGAACTGGTATAGCCTATCCATTAAGAACAAATGATGGGATGATAATACCCGATGGTGGTAAATCTAACCCAAGAGCAGATAGTTTTACCTTATATCTAAATTTCGTTGCTGACAAGATTCTCTAGAATATTTTGCCTAAAAATAAGTTGGACAATAAGCTTCATAAGACTATTAGAGAGAGAAAATAGATAAAACCTAAAGTAGATCAGTAACATAAAAATGATAATAGCAATACTGTTGCCAGCCAGGTGAAGAGAAGTGTGATTATATAAAGCAATAATAATAAGGATAAACAAAAACCTCATAGATCAAGTACTGCAAGCCTCGCACATAGAAGACCTGTTTTAGAATAGCAAAAGCGAGTTAATATGCAAAGCGTTAGCAGAATATCAAAACCTGAGTCATAGAAAAAGAAGCCTCCAGCTAACCCAAATCTTAATCAAAATAATAATAACGTTCAATATGCTCAGACTAATTTTCTTAATGTAACAAAAGATAATTGCTAACCGTTATAAACAGAAGTTGCAGATACTAAATTTGATTAAAAAATGGAAACAATAATTTAAAAGAATTCTACTTCAGTATAATCAGCAATTGGATCTACTAAACAAAGTTTGTCATAAACTGTCAAGTAAAGCCCAATAAAAGCAGAGAGCTTAATGACTTAAAAGCCCCCTACAAATAATATGCTTGGGAAAACTCCAGTAATTTCAAAATCTTTAATAAAAGTGGATTAAATTAAGAGGCAACAGCAAAATAAAATTCATTTAGTCAAATAAAAAGCCCCTCTAAAAATTTAAGTTGAGTAAATAAATCTTGAGGATTCAAAGTTAAGCGGCTAGTCCTCAGTAAGAAAAGAGATCGAGAGTGCCAATTCTATAATTGATGAAACTAATAAGAATCAATTTAATTATATTGATTTAGGCTATTTACATACAACATAAACTCCAAAGAATTATGATTCTCTTACCAGCTCTAATCCTCAAAGTCAAGATGGAATTCCTTTAGAACAAAGTGATGTCTCTCTAAAAGTCTAAAATAGAACACTGGAAACTAAATAAAAACTTGTAAGAGAGGTCCAAAATAAGAATTAAGTGCAATTATCATAAGCAAAAATTTCAAATGGTATTGATAATACAGAGGCGTTGCAATTTAAGAAAAATTAGTAATCACCACAAAATATTAAAATCAACAAAGACCGTAATCTTTCATATTAAAGTCCATTTTCACGTCAATATCAAAAGACCTAACCAACTTTGATAGATTATAGTGGGTAAAAATAACCTTAACCAGCAGCATTATCAACATAATTATCTTTCAAAAACAATAGCTAAAGTTAATCTGCTCATAAAAGCCATTCATTGGCTTATAATAAAGTTGAGACAAATGATAATTAGATTTCCAAAAACTAAACAAACATTGGGAAAAATTCTAATCAAAATATATTGCAAAATAACATTGTACCACTTAAGGTATTTAGCATGCCTTCCCATATTAATGCCTCAGGGAATATCAATATTGACATGCTTTATCACTAGTAGTAATAATAGCTCATGAATTTGAATCAAAATAACTACTATCAAACTGGAATGAAGTAGTATTAAGCTAAACTCACAATGAGCAATATGTCACCACCCATTCATAAGAAATAATAAAGTGATCTTAAAAGTCAAATCATACACATGACTCCTTAGAAGAACCTTATCAGAAAAATTAACTATGAACCACTTTCACTTCACTATAAAAAGAAAGAAATCAGTCTTAAGGAATCCTTAATAGATAATATAAAGGTTCAATGATTAAAGTATCTCAACAATGTGTCTGTAAAAATAAGTAGAATCATTATCTGGTTTATAAGATTAATAGTTTATTTGTAAGGAATCTATTTATTCATTCAAATATTCAAGTATATAATTTTTAACAAGATTTTCATCATTTTAATATGGGGTTTTGGGGTTTTGGGGTTTTGGGG